AATGTTCAAAATAAACTTTCAAATCAAAATCAATCAAATGAATTAAACTTCCCGTCATGACTGGGCTGCATTTCTGTCAGCGGAGTCATTTTTTTCCGAACAGCTGATTGGCCAGTGGGTGGTGCTTTTTATAGGATCAGATTCAACCCTGAACTTACCCTGCTCCGGAGCAGGATAGCCGTTCAGAGTAAGTTACCATGGTGATCTACCTCTGTAAGAACTGAACCGGCTTCGTGAGACCGAAAACCCAGAGTTAACCCTGAAGTTACCGCGCTAAGACATTAATCCTGCTTCGTGATACAGGCCCCTGCTTTAAACTGGATTCACTGGTGTAAACAGACCTGCTTTAAACTGGATTCACTGGTGTAAACAGACCTGCTTTAAACTGGATTCACTGGTGTAAACAGACCTGCTTTAAACTGGATTCGGACTCCTGCATCATTCTGGATCTTCTTGATCATCTCTCCGTTCCTGCCGATCACAATGCCGACAGCGAACCGGGGGACTGGGACCTGCAGAGAGACGGACTAGACATGAATGTACCGTTTAAAAAGGGATTCAGAGGACGCTCATACGTGCTAGCTGCTGCTAACGAATGCTAACAGTGTGCATTTGTTTGTGTTTGTCGTACGTCCAGACTGGTTCCTCCCAGGCGGGCGCTGAAGTCGTTGCGTCCCGACCTGAAATCTCCGTCCTTCTCTCTGATCACCTCCAACACCAACTCCCTCGCTGCCTGCAGGTGGAGAAGAGACAACGTCAGCGTTTAGATGAAGAAGGTTTGAGTGTTAGATTTAACTTAAGTTAAAGTATGTTTGTACTTTTGTCTCTGAAGGGACTCCTGAGTTTTAAACCTGGAGACTAAGGACATTTTTAAAGAGCTCTGATTGGTCCAGACTTGGTTTCAGGGTTTTGAATGACTGTAGGTTTAGGTTAGCGTTAGCTGCTACGATACTATGTCAGTGACGGTGTTTCTTGATAGTGATACATGCACCTAGAACACAGAGAAGGTTCAGTCCAGAACACAAACTGTGTGTTTGTACCTGCACTTTGTACGGGTCCCCAGAGATGCGGAGAGGTTTGTCAGCGCCCGTTGGCATCGGACCGTCCTGGATCATCATCATCTTCACCCCCGCTCGCTCCTGACACACAACACACAACGGAGATATTAAAGACACACACACCTCAGCAGAGTCATAACCCCGCCCCCTGCTGCAGCTGTCAGTCACTCTACCTGCAGCTGTTTGATGGTGTCTCCTCCTCGGCCAATCACCAGCCCCACCTTACTGGCCGGGATCAGCATCTCCTGCACAGAGGCTCCGCCTTCACCATCGCCGTGGAAACCTGGACCATTTCTACAGCGATCCACGATCTGGACCAACAGCCGCTTCGCCTGCCTGGAAACACAAACACACGCACACACACAGAGGAGGTGAGTGGCAGGTGAAAGTGAGCAGTGATGTCATCAGAGCAGGTGAAAGGTGAGTGTTTAGAAACTCACTCGATGCTCTCTGGAGTTCCAGTCAGGGAACATGGCCGCTCCATCAGACCTCCGCTGTCTGCACACGCACATGCACACAGACACACACAGACGTTTGTAACTGTTTACTTGCAGTAAGTCAACATGTGTCCACACTGCCTGTTATCTGTCTCAAACACACCCGGCCGGTTGGTCGTTGTTCTGGAAGGCGTCTAAAGTTTAAGCATCAGTTTTATTTTCAACAACTAACCAATCACAGGAGAAGTCACTGAGGAGCAGAAGTCAAAGAGTCAAACACCAGACTCACCTGCAGCGATCTGGATCTTACAGCCAGACTCCAACTGGATCCTGGTGATCTGTTCACCTCCTCTTCCAATAACTGCAGAACAACCAGAGGACAGAAACGTTACGTCACTGTTACAGAGCAACAAATTATACTTAAAGGTCCAGGTTTAGGTGTCTAGGTTCCGGTTAAAGGTTCTAGGTCAGAAAAAGAAGGTTCCAAATCAGCTAAAAGGTTCAAGGTTATAGAAAGATGCAGACTCACAGTTACTGGTTACAGGTTACTAGTTACAGGTTCTAGGTCTGGTAAACGGTTCTGGATCAGGTTAAAGGTTCTAGCTCAGGGGAGAAAAGGTTCTAGCTCAAGTTAAATGTTGCTCAGTTGCAAAGGTTTAGGTTGGGTGACATGTTGTAGCTCGGACATAGGATCCAGGTCATCTTAAAAGGTTCAAGGTTGGTTTAAAGGTTCTAGGTCAGATAACAGGTCTGGATCAGGTTAAACTTTCTAGGTCAAGTAAAGGTTCTGGCTCAGGTTTAAGTTTCTAAATCAGGTAGAAGGTTCCGACTTAAATTAGAGGTTCTAGGTCAGTATGAGAAAGGTTCCAAATCAGCCAAAAGGTTCAAGATGATAAAAAGATGCATGCTCAGAGTTACTGGGAAGCCAGGTGCGGGGATTTACATTACATGACAAGGTTCTATGTCATGTGGAAAATTTAAGTCAGGTAAAAACGTTCTAGCTCAGGAGAGAAAAGGTTCTAGCTCAGGATAAATGTAGCTCAGTTGCAAGGGTTTAGGTTAGGTGATATGTTCTAACTCAGACACAGGATCCAGGTCATCTTAAAAGGTTCAGGGTTGGTTTATAGGTTCTATGTCAGGAAAAGGGCTCTGGCCCAGGTTAAAAGTTCTGTCTTAAATTAAAGGTTAAAGGTCGGGTAAAAGGTTCTGGCTCAGGATAAAGCTAGGTCATTTGAAGACTTTAAGTCAGCCAGAAGATTCTTGATCTGTACAACAGCTGCTAGGCTTGTAGGATGACCCTTAGGTAGTAAAAAGATTGTACATCAGGTGAAAGTTCTAGATCAGGGAAAGGGTTCTAGGTAAAGTGGAGGGTTCTGGATAGTCTTAAATGTTGTGAGTCAGGTAAGAGGTCCTATATAAGCTCAAAACGCTCTGAGACAGGAAAGGTTCTGGGTCAGAAAGAGTTCTTGTTAAATGATCTAGGTCAAATGGAAAGGTTCTAGGTCAGATTTAAAGGTTCTACGTGGCATGATTGTTCTAGGTCAGCTGAAAAGGTTTCAGGTCATCGGAGAAGGCTCTTGTTTCGGATAAAGAGTCTGCGCTCGGTGAACAGGTTCCTTTTTGGGTAAAAAAAGTTCCATCTCAAGTGAAAATGTTCTGGCTCAGATGAGGAAAGGCTCTTGGTCAACTGACAACGTTCTAGCTTTGGTTAAATATCAAGAATAGGAACAAGGTTCTAGAGCAACTTAAAGGTACTAACACAACTGGTAAGACTCTAGTTCAGGTTAAATGTTCTAGCTCAGGTTAAAGGTTCTAGGTTAGGCAGACTGTAGGTTATGTGAAAAAGTATTACACCAGGTGAAAAGGCTCTAGTTCTGGATAAAGGTTCTCAGCTAGCCAAACACAAATACAGCTCGAGCTACAGGCTGTAGTTCAGATTAAAGGTTCTAGCTCAGGTAAAATGTCCTCCGTCAGGTTAAAGGTGTTAAATCAGATTAAAGATAAACAGTTCTAGAACAGGTAAAAAGGTTCTGGATTAAAACATCAGAACTGACACATAAAGGATGACAATGATAAACAAAATAAGGTAAACTGAGAACTGGAACTCAGTTGGTCCAGACCTCAGATCAGCTGCTCTGTACAACTAAATCTGATTGGACGGTGGAACCTTCAGACACCCTACCAGCAGGAAGCACTGAGAGGTCGGAGATCATACTCACTGAAGCCGACCATTCTGTCGGGGACCTTGTAATCCTCTGTGATTACCCTGCAACACAAACACACACATTAACATCCCAGTCACACAGTGTGTGTGTGTGTGTATGTGTGTGTGTGTGTGTGTGTGTGTGTGTGTATATACACACACACACACACACACACATATATATATATATATGTGTGTGTGTGTGTGTGTGTGTGTGTGTGTGTGTGTCCACATGTGTGTGGATAAGTGATTATGCTGATGCCAACTGCAGGAGAACAGATCTATAAACACTTATCTATGGTTACACTCTGACACACTGGTGTCTATTTGCAAACAGGAATATGATGCTGAACACACGTCAGTATGTGTGTGTCATTATCACCCTGCTGAGTGGGATCAATACGAGCTGCTGATCGTACCTTTGATGGCCCATGGCTGCTAGCTGGTTACCTACTGAGAGACAGAGACACACATCAGACATGAGGACATTTGTTCTGTCCAGTTAAAGTCACTTAATGGAGACAAAACTAACAGACGTGTTTCTGCACCACAGAAGAAGAAACAAGAGCAAAGAACCTATCAGAGCCAGGCTGGTATTACTCTGTTCTTAACAACAACCCATAAAAACACCCAAACTAACAAACTGTTGGTCCGTCTCTAAATACTGTCTGACTCCCACGAGCTCACTGGTTCCTAGTGAAGACAAAAAAAATCTTTAAAAACACACATATACAGTTTCATGTTTGGGGAAAAAAATCAATCGAGCACAGTGTCGTTTCACTGCCTGTGGGAGTGTGTTGAGATCAAAACATTCTGTAGGTCGGTGCTGCAGTTTGGGTCTGAGATGACCAACTGAGCTCTGCTGGAACACGGTGTCGCCCCTCTCTGGGCCGCTGGTTGAAGGATTTAACAGACAGTTTGGCTCTTGAAAAACTCACCTATATAGTGAGAAATAGAGCCTCTGAGTTTATTGATAATTGGGAAATGTTTTTGGAATTTGTAATAAATGGTGACATTGAAGATGCCTTGAAAAGGCAGTAGCTCAGTCCATAGGGACTTGGGTTGGGAACCGGAGGGTCGCCTGTTCAAGTCCCCGTTCAGACCCAAATATGGAGCGTGGACTGGTGGCTGGAGAGGTGCCAGTTCACCTCCTGGGCACTGCAGAGGTGCCCCTGAGCAAGGCACCGAACCCCCAACCGCTTGGAGCGCCTGTCATGGGCAGCCCCCTCACTCTGACATCTCTCCACTTGGTGCATGTATAGGTCCAGTTTGTGCATGTGTGTGTTCGGACCTGTGTGTAATTGACAACAGAGTGAAAAAATTTAATTTCCCCTCAGTGATTAATAAAGTGAATAAACTTAAAAAAACAAACAAACAAAAAAAAAACCCTAATGCTTAGATAAAGCATGGAGGATAATGTGCTGTACCTGTGCTTGAACTGTGTTTTTTGATTTACTGTAGCATTATTATTATCGTTATCGTTATGTAGCTGTTTTATGATTTTACAATTATTATTATGATTATCATTTTAATAACTATTATTCCTTTTTATATGTAATGCCATATGTTCATGTACGTTCGTGCATGTGTTAAATGTTTAAAATCAATAAACATACATTTACAAAAAAATACAGCACAGTATCACGATGTTTCGTGTGGCAATATTGTTTTGTTAGACAACAAATATGGATTTTTTAATTGTATAACTTAACTTTATCTTGAACACTTTATCTTCTTTGATAACAGACGCTGTCAAAGTTTTTCTTTGGAGACTTAATTTCCAAGTGAAAAAGGTAAATACCATTATATGTTATCACAAAATGTTTAAAATCAGTGTTGTATTCTGATTTCTGATAATGTTGTATCATAGGTTCTTTGGTGATTGCCACCACTGGTAGTTTCCTAAAACAGCGGCCGATGTAGCCTGTAGTCCCCCAGGTCAACAGTTGTAGGTGAGATTAAAAGGTTGTATATCAGGTAGCAGATTCTAGACTGGGTGCTGAGGGGGGCAAAATGAAAAGGTTCTGGATCAGGGGAAAAATGCTTTATCTTAGATTAAAGGTTTAAAATCAACTCAGGTTTGAGGTTCTTGGTCTGATGGGAGGTTCCTGGTCAGGTGAGACAAAGTTCTAGCTAAAGCTTGAGGTTCTAGGTCAGCTGAAAATATTTTTGACCAGGTGGAAATTTCAACCTTATGAAAAAAGGAAAAAATGTACCAGCTCCCATTGAAGGCTTTTTTATTTGTGCTAATTTCAACCTTAGCCAACCTAAAAGGTTCAAGATGAGGTGATATGGTTCCAGATTTTAGAACAGCCAGAAGGTTCTTGCTCTGGTTAAGATTCTTGGTCTGGTGAGAGGTTTCTAGTCAGGCTAAAAGACTCTATGATCAGGTGAGAACAAGCTCTTGATAAAGCCCAAGGTTCTACGTCAGCTGAAAAAATTCTGGACCAGGTGGAAAGTTCAACCTTAGCTGGGGGGTTTAGGTTAGCCTAAAAGGTTCAAGATGAGGTGAAAGATTCTAGCTCGGATGAAAGGTTTTAGATCAGGTGGAAGGCTCTTGTCTTGGTCTGGTGGGAGGTTTCTGGTCAGGTCGAAAGATTCTAAGACAGGTGAGAAAAGTTCTCGCTAAAGCTCAGGGTTCTGGGTCAGCTGAAAATGTTCTAGACCAGGTGGAAAGTTCAAACTTATTTGGAGGGGTTTAGGCTAGCCTTAAAGGTTCAAGATTAGGTGAATATTCTAGAACAGTTTGAATGTTGTTGCTCAGCTGGAGGGGTTTTAGTTGGCTGAAAGGGTTCTCAAAATACAATGAAAAGGTTCTAGCTCAGATATAAAGGTTTTAAATCAGGTGGAAGGTTCTTGGTCAGGTTTAAGATTCGTGGTCTACTGGAAGGTGCCTGGTCAAATGAGAAAAAGTCCAAGCTAAAGTTAAAGGTAGATGGTAGATCTGAACAAGGCTAAAAGGCTCTTGGTTGGGTAGAACCCTCACACCCTCCTCCTCCTCCTCCTCCTCCTCCTCACCTCCGTCCTCTCCTGGTCGTTTCTGCCCGGGGTAGTACAGCGAGGGCTCGACACTTCCTGAGGAGCTGTTGAGGTGAGACATTGCTTCTCCGCCCATCTTCCCCACCATCTGACAGACAGAAACAAACAGCTGTTAACACCTGTACCTATTAGAACAGGTAACGTCCTGACGGGAGGAGCAGCTCGGTGCCAACACAGGATGGAAACACGTAATGACTGAGCAGGTGCAGGTGCAGGTGCAGGTACTCGGTACTACAGGACTCGGATTGGGGCTAAAGACTTGATTAGAATGTTGATGATAAACACCACAGATGACATGTTTATCATATTTTTCGCTGTGTTTTGGTCTTTCGTCCATGCAAACTGTGTTTCCTGTCACTTGAAACAGACCTTTTGTAAAACTGTAAATGATGACGTGCAGACGGGAAACATCTGAGCATGTGCCATTATCTCCTCTGTGAGACTTCACAAAGGAGGTGACATTTTGTTCAGTGGTGGACGTGATGCTGGCTCTAAGCTTGTTAAGAGCACTTTTTTACCTCTGCTGACACCACAGCCCCAAAGTGTAGTGACATTTTGGAGGAGGCTACGTGGTGGCAAAACCTCAGAGCTGACACACAACAACAGACACCACAGGTTGCCTGTTAATGCAGGTGTATAAATCCATCTTTAGTTTTGAACTAATCCAGGAAACCTCCAGGAAAAACAGATGTGATGTGTAAAGAGAAGCTGCTGAAGTGGATATCAGGGCTGCACAATTATATCCATTTTTAATCAGGATTTGGGCCTCCCACAATTACACGAACGTGATCAGCTGCAATGTTTAAAATGCTCATAGAAAACTGTGCTGCACATTAAGTCAAGTGCTCCCTGAACTAACAGCTGACCGCTGCATGGTCACCCTGCAGCAGCAGCAGCAGCAGCAGCCTGTGACAGACAAAACAAAAATTATCCATCATCAGATGTTGTTGAGGAGTTTTTTTTGGATTTAGGAGAGAACAAATCAAAGCCAAGAGTAAATGACATGTGTGTCTGCACCGCAGAGCAACACAACCAACCTGTTCAACCGCCTGAAAGAACGCCACAGCCTGCAGTATGATGAACACATGAAGGCTGAGGAGAATGTCGCTAACGTTACCTCCCTGGCCCTAACCAAGACATCCATGACAGCAATGTCACAGTACTGTGACCGCTGTAAAATAAATAAATACAGCAGCATTCATATCCATAAGAGATGAACTGAATTCAGGTGATAAAGAATCTTATTTTAAATCTTATTGTGATGCAAAGATCAGTAAATTAGCAGGAAGGTAGTACAACATGAGGTGAACGCAGAGCTCTGTTGGTTTAAATGTGAAACTGCAATAAAATTATTTTGCCCCTGAAAACAAAGAATAATTGTGATCTCAACATCGATCAAAATAATGCTGATTGTCACTTTGTCCATAACGGTGCAGCTCTGGTGGACGTCAGCGTGATGAAGACGGTGACGACAGCCTTCAGTTTACAACTAAAGCTGAGATGCAGCGATGTTCAAGAGACGATCTGATGTGTCATCAGACATTAATCTTCTATTAATGTCATCTTCTCCTTTTGAAGGACACTTATCAGGTTGTCAGTTATACGTTTATCAGGTTATCAGCGTCTGGTTGCTGGATTCACTCCGAAATATGTCTGAGTCAACAGCTCCTTCACAGCTATCAGCTTCAAGCTGCAAGCTGACCTCACCTTGACTGACAACACAATGAAAAATACAGCCTGCCTACGCAGACACACACACACACGCACAGTGAGGTAACCTTGAGCGTCTTCATGATAAAGAGAAGAAAAGAGCAGCAGAGTGAAGGAATCTGCTGCAGTCACACACTCACACAGGACAACCTAAATCAATGATACACCTGTACACACCTGTACACACTCGTACACACCTGAGCTGAATTATCCTCAGGAGTCTCCTCCTCTCCAAATCAAACAGACGAGCTGATTTAAACCAGGAAAACACTGAATAAAACAGTTTCATGTTATTATCTGTTTTTCTGACGCTGCTCGTCGTGAAGGAGCTGCTGACTACTGTGGCCGCCGCAGAAACATGAATATCTCTATCTAGAGTCAGTGTTTGGTTTGTCTGTTCTGGGCTACTGTAGAAACATGGCGGTGCAACATGGTGACCTCTGTAGACGAGGACCTGCTCCCTGTGGAGATATAAACGTGTCATTCTGAGGGAACCAGAACACAACCATTAGATCAGATTTAAACTGACACACTGGAGCTCTAACTCTAACACATGAAACACGCCTCACATCTCTACTTCCTGGTGATTTAAAGAGTTACAGGATACCCACACATTTTAACTATTAATTTTCATAACTTTTCCACAATATTTTGCCCAACTTCCATGACTTTAAGTAGTTTACAGCAGCCTGCCTGAACACGCCTCTGACAACAGGTGATTTAAAGTAGGGCACATTTCCAAGCGTGCAGAGGTACGCTCACTTTGTTACCCTACAATTACATTTGGACCCTGTCCTGCACCAAAACATCAGACGTCCTGTCACAGAGTGTCTGTCCAGTGTGGTGAGGGCCTCTCTCTGGAGCCATGAATTCAATTTGCCATTTGGAAGCCATACATTATTAAACACACACGTCCAGGTACTTACAGATAAGCACACTGCTAGCGCTATCTAACACTAACGATCTGCACACACCAATGTGTATCACATGATACAGGTGACATTTCCACAGTCACACAGCACAGCACTTGATTTTAAATCAGTAATACAGGGAACATATTTTGCATATTGTCAGGGTTTCCCACACGTTCAGTTATTTGTGGCAGCCCGCCATGATTAAAACTTCTGCTGCCACATTATTTGTTTCTATTTGTGGAGCTGAGCCATTCATTAGGAGCTCTGCTGGAATATGTACAGCCTGGATATCACTGCTCTGCACTCAGCACAGAGCGACTCTGGGCACAGGCGGAGCAGCAGATCGTCACGGGCAGTGAAAGTGAAAGCTTAGTGTTCGTAGCGCTGGGTCAAAGTTTGCTTTCACTCACAAACAGTTGCTTCTCACTTCCATTGATCTGATCAGATCAGCTGTGACTGGATCGATTGATCAGTTATTTGACCCGGAAGTCCAATAGCATTAAATGTGTAAGAGAAGAAGAAGCCGGTAACAACATGGAGAAATCTACATCCAGAGCCGTGACTTTTTGGACGGACCAAATGTACAGAGCTGTAAAGTTGTCCACCATGGTAGCAGTTAGCAGCTAGCTAACCGTAGCTAACTTGTTTGTCCATTGTTTGGTCTGTGACGTAATAGGTCAACAGGAAAAAGGTCCAATACTAACAAGCTGAAAGGGGGCATATCTCCACCTATCGTAGAGGAGTCGCACATACTTGGCTCAATAAATGGATTCCCCTCCCGTGCTTGTATACTGGGACAAGGACAGTAGGCCAGTTAGATGTCCTCGTCCAGCTGGGACTGGAGCTCCACTTCACTGGGACTGGAGACACACTGAGTGACTGATACACAGGAGGCGGCAAGAAAAAGAAACGGAAAGTTGGTGGGCGCCCACCGCCTCCACCTCGTCTCCAGCTACCACCACACACAGGATCTAATTCTAATTCTAAGGTTTTGGGATATTTTTAAACATATTTTCAAACAACAGCCAAAACAACTAATATTCAAAATGTCCCCAAACATTCTGTTAACTACAAACCATTTCCAGGCCTGGAAAACAGTTCTTCTCTTTTTATAACTTTTCCAGAGAATTCCATGACCGTGGGAACCCTGGAGTTACAAATATTCATAGAAATATAAACTAACACCGTCAGATGTTGGTGAGGGCTACGCTTCACACTTCAAACTGCAAATAACTGAACAGATATGAAAGTTTTAGATGCAGTTTTGTAAAATGGGTTCAGCTACTGTGGAGACATCAGTGTGCAAAGTCAAGAGCACTACAAATCTGAAGGCGCAGGTCTCAGTGAGCATAACGTCAGTTGGCTAAAGACCTTTTTATGGCCGACGTCACAATGACATCATGTTATCAGCTGGAGGTGCAGCTGCCTCTCCCCCACAGGGCTGTAGGCTACACAGGAGTCTTAAAATGTGTTTGTGTTGTGTTATTGGTAGGCTTGTCACGATCCCACAATTTCAGTAGTTGATACCAATACCAGTGAATTTCCACGATTCTCGATACTCATTCGATATCATGATAAAAATCAAATGACAGAACTCATGTATTTCTAAATTCACTACTTTATTAAAACTGTTTCAAACTTAAACTTTAACTCTAAGGCCTCATTTACACCACAAGTGATGCAGCAGCACACGTGTATTCACACCAAAACCGAACAGACACGTCGCGCAGCGGCCACTGCTGTCCCGTCAAAATGCACCATGTTTGCAAATCTCCAATAAACCCCAAAGAAGAAGAAGAAGTGAGTTTGGACCCAAAGCCCAGGGTGGACAGGTTCGCGCACCAGTGATTATTCCAACACTTGGAGAATTAATATTTAGCGCTACAAATGGTTAAGTACATGAAACATGTGCCTGTCAGGTCTCGCTTGGTCAAGGGGGAGATGTCTACGGTGGCCGAGAGAGACTCGCGCAAAAAAGTCAGCGTCTCTTCTATTTTCGAGCTTGCTTGCGAAAGCAGCGTGACTCGAGCAGAGCATAGAACGGATGTGGTGTGAATGAATGCAAGTGAATGCTCTAACCTGTTAACATGCTCGCTGAAATGAAAACAGAAACCGTTCGCGAGCGCTATGCGAACGCTATGCGAACGCATCGCTTGCGGCGTAAATGAGGCCTAACCCTAACCCTCTCCACACACACAACTCCTACTGCCTGGCTTTTTAACAAGCCGAGGTGTTGTGGCTCCAGCACCAAAGCCATTGTTTCTAGCAAAGACGATGGAGAACAGGCGTTCTTCTTCGGCGCTCGTCCTCTGCACCGACTGACATGCGTATACTGCCCCCGTCAGTTCCGACATGAATCGACACGGCCCGCTGAGGGCAAAGTTGTATCCTGTACTTATGGTACCGAAAAAAAAAAAAACAGGTACCAATGTATTTTTTGCGTGTTGGCATTGATTTGGTAACCAAGTAACGCTTCTCATGACAACCCTAGTTATTGGGAGCCAGAATAGAAGGAGTCATGTCTCAAAACCAGCCGCCACTGCCCGTCAACAAAAACAAAGACAACTATGGTTAAATGTGATAAGACCAAAGGACTGGACGGAGGCCATCATCAAAAATGCTCACATGTGCAGCGCACACTTCATATCAGGTTAGGGAAAAAGTATTTCCTGTTGTAGGGATGAATAAGGTTATGTGTATTAAGGGTTATCATGTCCACCTCATCAGAAACTGGGGAGGGATTAAGAGGAAGATTGGATTTCTCTGCAACGCTAACTTTTTAGCACATTAGCTAACGTTAGCTTCCATAGCAAAACAAACAAGTGTGGTCCTCCTTTGTAAGATTGGCTTCCTGTGACATCATCCATCCACTGAGTGAGAGCATACGGGTCGGCCAGTCTGGTCCCGTTGGTCAGTGTTTACTTATTCAAGTAACACTGGCGGTCCCGGAGAGTGAGTGACCTGACATGGTGCGTTGGTAAATTCAGTCTGCAGGAGGTTGTTGGTGTCACGAGCCTGTTTAAATCTGTATAAAATTAAAAAAACCTTAATAGCTAAAGCTTCCTTTTTTTAGCAGCAGGAAGCTGAGGCTTCTGTCTTCTGTGTCATGATGCTGTACGCTCTTCATGGCGTCATTACATTATGTCACGTGCAGTGCAAAACTATGGAACGTGGACTGGTTCTAAATGTCTATTTTGATGTTGGTATTAATAATCAAATTTGTTTGCGCTCTAGGCGTTCAACTCAACAAGTTTACAGTTGGTAAACAATGGAGGAGAAACTGGTGGTAGTGGTTGCTGGATACCCAGAGCTATACGACTTTACAAAGCACAGTTAGCACCATGTCAATAGAAAACAGCAGGTAAGTGCAGTACTGTAAACGTCCATGATGGAGGAGAAGCTCCTGGACCAACTGGTGGTACTCCCCATGATCCAGCCTCTTTTTTAGGGTCTCATGTACCCACACAGATCTCTGTTTATCTGCTGACAGCCTCTCTTTTTGCCTGTGGCATTAAATAATAAATGAGGTGCGCCTCACGTTTTGCAACCTGCAAAATGTTTCCTGTGTGATCAGGGCCTAAAAGTCCATTCTCACTGAGGGCGAATATCCGCACGGATTATTCTCGCGGAAAAATCTAAAAGTTGATTTCATGGGTTCTTATGGAAGTTTGCAAACAGGGCGGAACTTTCGTGCAGTGAAAAAAGTTTCCGCCCAGACTATGACCCCCCGCGGAATTCGCTGGTGAAACTTCACAGCTGGGCCAATGAAATTGTTTGTTTATAGTCGCGCAGACCCGGGAGAGTCTAAAATCCAGTCAGGCAGGACAGTATGGGAGAAAGGTTGATCCACCTCGTTTCACAGCACCCCGTCCTTTTTGATAACAGACGGGATGATTTTATGAACAATGAATTAAAGGACAACGTCTGGCAGTCCATTGTCCAGCTTGGTGGCTGCGGTGAGAGTGGTAAGTGCTAAAGAAAGTTGATGTTGACGCTTGTTGAACGTTAGCTTGCTAGCCCACTGCTGCTACTACTCTCGTCCATGTTCACCCACACCCGTTCACACTGCGCGGAATTGGAACACAACAACGCGAAATTCCGTGCTGCGCCTGTGTGTATGGTTTAAATGCGAAATCCGTCCCGCATTTCCGCATTGTGGCAGTGAGAATGAACCTTAAAGCTTCCACATCATTGATTGGTGTCAACATACTCGCCCCTTTGTGGCGTAGCGACTGCGTTGGCCAATGTGATCTCCTATTAGTGGGTGCGATTTGGCTACGTAACGATCACATTTTTTCTACACAACTTTAATTTAGTATTTAGTATATGATATGACACACCCCTATCACACAGTGTAGCTGCACTATGAGAGAACTAAAATCTGTCGGAGGCTTTAAACATGTAAACAGCTCAGTAGGAATATGATCTTTTCAGAATGAGCGCAAAACCAAGAATATTTAGTGCGTGTAAACGTCGCCACCGACCAATCAGAGCAGACTGGACTTTTTCTTTTCCTGTCTGTCTCGGTAAGCTGAAACCATTTCCCTCAGTGGAAACAAAGCTTTGATTTACTTTAATTTCACAGATAAAAAACAGTAAATCATGAAGACAATAAAGCCTCCACACACTGTGTGTGATTTATCCTGGCTGAAATATGAGCAGAGCAAATCTCTGTTAGCTGCTAGGCTAATTTATACAATGGAAAATGCCATAGGCTTGTGCTAATAATGTTAGCATGTTGTATTTGTGGGGAAAATGTGTTTAGTATCAGACAGTTGTTTTGTCAGTGAACCTTGTGAGCTGTAATGGAGCTGAATTTTGTAATGTTACCTTTGTTAAATGTTGCTGTTGTCCCTGGTTTCATATGAGTAGAGAGAAGTCCGCTAGCCGCTAGGCTAATTTATACAATGCAAAATGCCATAGGCCTGTGCTAATAACATATCAGTATCATTGTGAACGAGATGATGTGACACACCTCTATCACACAGTGTAGCTACACTATAAGATCACTTTAATCTGACAGTCTGTGGGAGGCTTTGAACATGTCAACAGCTCAGGGAGAATACTGTCTGACAACTGAAATATTTAGTGTGTGTAAACGTAGCCACCGACCAATCAGAGCAGAGGAGGAGGGTTTAAAGATAGAGGAGCTAAGACGCAATGCTTCAGACAGACGGTGAATACATGAATATTCTTAAAGACGGTACGAGTTAAAATAGTGTTTTTGAACATTAACTGATGTAAACATGTCGTCATAGAAACCACAAATATAAGAATGAACCTGGAAATAAGTGTCATACGTGCTCATTGTCGCTGTGGGTGACAGTGTGACGTCAGTATGTCAACACATGGGCTCTTGGAAGATTAGCCAATGACTAAAAGAGACCCAAATAAAATAAAACCAACAAGTTCAAATATTATCACAATACAGTGCAAATTTTTCATATCATATTAAAAATGATGTCAGTGTTATCGTGAACGAAAGGTCAAAAAACAGAATGTGTAGTGCGTGTACACGTCGCCACCGACCAATCAGAGCAGACTGGACTTTTTCAATAGGAGGGTTTGAAGGAGAGAGTTTCAAACAGACGATGAGTACAGGAATATTCAAACAGACAGTACGAGGAAAAATAAAGTGTTTTTGGACATTAAATCGTGTAAACATGTTGTCATAGAAACCACAAATACAAGAATGACGCTGGAAACAAGTGTAACATGGAGCTTTGAGAGGAAACAGTCTGTGTGGCACAGATATGAGTTCATAATAACATGACACAGAGAGTTAGACACCTGCAGAGGTGCATCAGAGTCAAACCGTGCTGCTGGTTAAATGTCCTCCCTGTCTGTCTGTCTGCGTGTCTGTCTCACTACCTGTCTGTGTGTCTATAGGAAGCAGACACACCTCCAGCCGGCTGTATATGGCTGTGAGGCTGTTGCATAACGTCAGCCTAGTTTCTAACCAACTTACAGTAAACAGCAGCCTATAAGGGGAGGGGAGGAGGAGGGGGGGCAGCTCTCACTTTAACTGTTGCTCAGCGGAGAACTCTCCACCAACACCCGCATATGAGCGCTGTGGCCCCGGCCTGCCCGGGACACTGGCCCGGCTCCCCGGAGCAGCGCACAGAGGGGACTCGTTGTCCTCCTCGGTGGGTTTTCACCGTGTTTCTGTCCCGCAGCCCAACAGGTTGTCTGCCTGCCTCAGTGACACGTGTGGACAAACTTCTGTCCTGTCCTCCCCCACCTCCTACACCTCCTCCCCCGGTCCCACTGCGCTCCCCTCCGGGTGACAGCTCCACAAACTCCCCCTAAACTAATTCCCGGACCGTGTCAGGCCGGACAAAGTGTCCCAAAGCGGCCACAAGTCCGACTCCGAACTGCTTTCTGAGCTAGTTAGCATGCTACTCTCTGAGTGTGTGTGTGTGTGTGTGTGTGTGTGTGTGTGTGTGAGTGTGTGTGTGAGTGTGAGTGTTGACGGAGCGCATAAGTTAGGAGTTAGCAGCAGAGACAACACGGGTGAATCCGAATAAAAGTGCTTTGGCTCGATGGAAACGACCCGGAACGGAAGTGTGCGGAGCCCCAGTGTTGTTGTTACCTGCCGGGCCCTCTGTAAAACATCGGCCAGGCCGTCAGACTTCAGCCCCGGCTGGTTCATCGAGGCCTGTCCCTGCACCAGCTCCGCCATCATAGCGCCACTAGCTAGCCGTTAGCCGTTAGCTGCTAGCCCGGATTAGCTGGGGCTGCTAACTGTGCTCAGAGAGCGCAGAGAGCGGACAGAGGTCTCACTCTGACCACGTTTTCACACACCGGAGAGGAAGTAGAGCTCTGACACTGGTTCCACTGGTTTGACCGGTCCCAGTATAACTCACACTGCTGCTGCACGTGGACACTGACTGAACTGGATTTAGTTTCATTTATATGGAACTTAAAAAACAGGTTTTGCACCAAAGTGCCGAACAACAACAGATATAAACATATACACAGGCACAGATGAGTTCAGCAAGATAAAAACAAAACAAGTTAAAACAAGTTCAAATTAATTAATTGAAAACCAGAGAATAAAAATGTGTCTAAAAAGCATCAACGGACTGAGCCTGACCTCATGACAGAAAAATATAAAATGACATAAAGATGAAATAAACATTAAACTTCAACACTGAGACCTCTGTGGACTTGTCACTGGTTATATCTTTAAATACATCACGTGCTTATGGGAAATGTGGCTTTTAGTTTCTTCAGAAACTCAAGAAAAGATGATATATATTTCAATAATTAACACAAATTTAAATACAAATTTTAAAATATTAAATTAATAATGATGCTGACAAAATTCACACTGACAACACATGAAATGGAAATTAGGAGAAAACAGATTATTTAATTAGTTAATCGCAGGTAAAACTAACAACAACTTTCCTACAAGTGATCATTAACTTCATGTTTCAAGCAAAAATGACAAATTCAGGCTGCAGCTTCTCAAATGTTCAGATTTCATCTGTTATATTAAGAATTAAATATCTTTGGATTTTGGACCTATGGTCAGATTAAACAAGACATCTGGAGAGGTCACCTCCACTGTGACAGGATTTTATCACTGTTTTAATATCACATAAACCAAACAGTCTATAAATGAAGAACAGGTGTAACTGGCAGATTTATTGATAACTGATAATAAAATAAATCTACCTGCAGCTCAGAGTTATTAAAACATGATGACAGAGTTTATTGTAAAGAAACATTTAAGAATATTAATGCGCTTTAGGTTTTATTCACTTCATACTTTTCACACATTCTGTTACATACTGTGAACTTTTGGTCCTGCTTGGACGATATTCTGCACAAAACAGCCAAAACTGTAGTTCTTTTATTTATATTTACACATATTGCACAGATTTTATAATTCTTAATATTCTTTGTGATGATCTTCTGCTCTGAATTTATGTTCGCAAATTTTGTGATATGTACATTTATTTTTTATTTCATTGTCTCTTCACATGTTCATGTTTTGCACCAAAGTAAAAAAAAACAAAACAAAACAAACATATTCAGATTCTGAGTCAATAAAATGAAACGGAACAAACAAACAGAGGTTTCAGTTGTTCACCATGGAAACAGTGTGACATATAGAGGTTATTCTGTCTAATATAATCTGCTGAGGTGGAATATAAATAATAAGCACTTTTACTTCTGCTATAGTATAGTATGTATATATGTAAGTATATTTTCATGTCAATACTTTAGTATTTTCACTTCAAGGTTTGATGAGTATTTCTACTCTGTGCTGTCTGTAGTTTTTCTGCAGTAAAATCAGATCAGAGTTCTTGTAATAACTCCACAGTGAAACATTTAACCCTCCGTGTTTAACATCAGCTGTTTCTGCCGTTTGGCTTTGTGTCACTTTATAACCGCAGAGTGAGTCCTGCTGTCCATAGAGGATCTCCGCCGCTGCTCAGCTGTTGGCAACTCGCTGCTCTGTTTCCGCTTCCGCGTTCAGTCACGTGCTCCGACCAGCTCCACAGGTGGAGAGCGGAGTGAACTTTTACAAGGAGAGGAGGAGGAGGAGGAGGAGGAGGAAGAGTTTGATGAGTGTGATCGATCAGTTATGAATCAGCTGATGTCCACTGTGACGTTAGTGTGGTGTTTGTGTCAGTGACCTCTGACCTTTGACCTCTGTGTTGTTGAAACTGCTCACAGTGACTCTGGGCTCAATTAACACAGTTTGTTGTGTAACTCTGAGATCAAATAAAGTCACAACTTTTATTTTCTTCATCTATTAATCTGCTGATCCTCTTTATTTTCTTTCTTTATCACTTTATTAATCAAACACAGTGGTGGAATGTAACTAAGTACTTCTATTAAAGTATTGCACAGTCTGAGGTGCTTGTACCTCACCTGAGTGTGTCCACAGCTGAGTGTGTCCACAGCTGAGTGTGTCCACAGGTGTCGGACAGCTTCAGTTGATTTACAGAATTAAAACATATCAATAGTTTATAGAATAAAACTGATTAGTGAGAAACAGTTGATCAGAGCAGCTGAAACCATCGGGCCAAAAATCAATCAGTGAAAAAAAGAAATGTGAAACTATCTTCATCCTGTAAAAACATTTCATGGTTCCATTTTCATAAACCTGTTCTGTGTTCAATGTTAATAATCAATAATGTTAATATTTGTAATGTATCAATAATAATGACTAACATATTGATCACTGTGTTAATAATCGTGATGTTGTGACATCATTTCTCACTATTTTTTTTAACCATTTTTCAAACCAATCAATCGATTAACGGAAAAATCAATTCATAATGAAAATAATCATCAGTTGAAAACGAGCTCCACCTCAACAGTAAAATCCTGCTTTGACATTAATGAGTCAGAATCATGTGATGACATCACAGATATAAAACAGTCACATTAATGAGTGAAACAGTGAAGAACTTCACACAGTGAAGCTGAAGTCTGATTTAATCTGAAACATGGAGGATCAGTTAAACTCTGATGACCTGCAGTGACCTGTGACCTCACTGTGACTTCAGATGACATCAGATGACCTCTGTCTCATGCTCACACACACCTGGCAGGTGGTGTCAGATGTTTCCTCCTCCTGACGGAGCTGAAAACACAAACGACTGTTTATCAGTCATTCAGGACTTAAAGGAACATTACACTAATAATAATAATTTTATTTGCGTCAAACTGCTGCTGACGGTGATGTCACGTGATGTCATGAAATAGCTTGACATGTTTCTTCTTCTTCTGATGTAGTAACTGTTTTCAGTTTTAGTTCCTCAGACTCACAGACTCAGCGTCCACACTCACGGACTCACAGACATCCGTCAGATCATAAACTACATGAGACTCGCCTGTTGTCGCAGATATTTTGAGTCCTTCATGAACAGTCTGTATCTCTGCAGCCTGAGGGAATCACCCACAATTCATAGCTCTGTGACATCAGAACACTGCGTTACCACAGGAAGTGTTGAAGAATAAGCAGTACAGAGGGAGGACAGCATGACGGGTGTTCAGCCTGGAATATTAACTATGCACAGAAACATCAACATAAAGGCTCCTGTTGACCTGCGTGATATGGTGACAGTGTCTCACAGCTCAACTGTCACTGTTTTATTGTGGCCAGCCTAAGGCACACCTGTGCAGTAATCATGCTGTCTAATCAGCATCTTGATACGCCACACCTGTGAGGTGGGATGGATTATCTCGGCAAAGGAGAAGTGCTCATTAACACAGATTTTAGACAGATTTGTGAACAATATTTGTGAGAAATGGTCTTTTGTGTGTATAGAAAATGTTTTAGATCTTTGAGTTCAGCTCATGAAAAATGGGAGCAAAAACAAAAGTGCTGCATTTATGTTTTTGTTCAGTGTAAAATATAATATATATACCTGAGAGCACAAAAGATTATTGGCAAACAGCTTCTGTTTTAAAATCCCACACCTGAAAAGAGACACAGAAAAGTACTTTGTAGTTATTGACACTCAGTCACAGGGTGTGAAATATTTTGGTAAAAATGAAAGTGTGGTTATTTCTGAGTCATCATTTATGAATCTTGATCCAGAACCTTCAAAGTGCTGATGTGGAGACATAACTGTCTTTATTCCAGGGACAGAACTCTGCTGATGTTAAAGGTCCAAGGTGGCTGGTCCAGGTCACGTCGTGGTCCTGATGTGGAAAACAACAACAAAGCTTGGATAAGACCTTTAATGTTGCAGAGCCGTTATGACCACACGATGTTACACAAGGATGTGTTGTGACAAATGTCCAATAAATGACAGCTGAACACAACAAAGTACAGTATTTGGAATCCGTCCATCCTGGGCCACTGCCATGAGCCCAGGTGTTTCAGCAGGCGTTTCTGTGCACCTGGGAAACTGACCATGTTTAGTTTAGTTTAGTTTTAGTTTATTTAGTTTATCAAGGGACAGTGTGCAATAGCATTAATCATTTACAAGAGATGAGGAGATGGTTGCACCAGATTTAGCAATAACTGCTAATTTCCGTCTGTAGTCCCAACATATAATTTACAATATACACAGACCACGATCTAAAATACAAAAGAACCTAAAATACAGATGAACAGCACAGAGACAATACAGACATACAATTTCGACATTTAAAATAACCAAGTTGTTAGAGTGCAGGGAGGAACAACTTACAAAACACTAAAAGGCAGTCCAAGTAGCAGCTCCTGATATAAAGTGCAAGGCAGGAATGTGCATAGTTAAAGTGTTGGTGTTGTTGTTGGTTGTTGACAAAGTGCTCGTAGCAGCAAAAAAAGATTATGTGGATTATCTTTTACCTTTGAGCTGAGAATATGTTGAGTTGTTCCTGAGCGTGCTGCAGAATGAAAGGTAAAGTCCTGAGAACTGCTCCAGCTGCTACTTCACCTGCAAACAAATCAATTAGTCTGTTTATATTCAATGAAAATAAAGTTCACGACCAAGGTAAAGAAAAAAATAAATAAATCAACATCTAAAGACGTTGGCCAGCTGGGAAATGTACCCGTGCCCATCTGTGTGCTCATCTCGCAGGTGTGCAGGTCTTAAGATGAGGTGTGGTCAGGTGCATTGTTGGTGTGTTGCTATTCTAAGGCAACAGAAAGCAACTGATTCATTGACCAACAAAAACACAGTCTAAAGTCGGATCAGAGCTGTATTTTTCTATTTAACGGACAAATTATTCAGAGAGTCAGATGCACCTCTGGAGGCAGGTTCACAACCCATCATATCCTGC